TCCCACCGCCTGTCCTTGCTGGCCTCCTTGTTGCACAGGGCAAATGGTCACAGGCCACCCTGAACCCTAATGAAAAGATAACCAGCTCCAGGGAACAGGAGGAGAGCTGAGGAACTGGAAAACATGGGTTGGTGAGAGTTTTAGTCAACAAGAAACTAGGCTACACCCAAGTTTCAAGGAAACAAAACAGACGTTTTGTTATAATTTTGTTTAGTGAAGCTGAAGGAACCTGGCTTGGCTGCTCAACCTGGCATTAATGTGGGAATCCAATGGACTGATGCACCTTTGAGATCACTTAAATCCCCATGTGGATGGATCCTGCCAAGATGTTACAGAAGAGGGATCTTTTCTGGGGGTGAATCTTTCTAGTCAGTGCTGTGGACTTCCTGTCTATATGTTGCTTGGGGAAGCTTGGCCCTTGTTAAGACTGGAAATAATTTTATGTTTTAAAGATACCTAAAGAATCAAAATTGTGCAAATGCATGGGATAAAAATCTATTTGCCAAACAGACACATCTTACTAGTAATTTTCATTTTACCATAATTTAATCCTGTATTGTCAATTCCGATTTTTTCATGCTTGTGTGAATTTAACTAACCCTGCCACACATGCAAGGAAAGTTAGCTGTGGTACAACTTCAAGGTTTGTATGAATATGAAAAATGAGAGCATTTTTCCATGGAAAAACTAAGTTGAAAACTTCACCCAATATTATCAAAGTAATATTTCAACATTTAATCATAATAATTTTAATGTCAATAATGTTGGTATATCTTTGGAAAAAGGTGCCATATCTGACCACTGCCTAGCAGAGCTGACTCCCACGTTCCTTGTCTGGTATTCAACTAATAGCCACCAGGTGGCAGCACAGGCTAGCAGCCAAAAGGTCTTGCAGTTGATGGATTATTATTATTTTTTGTAAATCTCCTGCCTGAGCCCATTGCTGGAGTGGATGAGTTGGCAACTATAATAATTAGCCCCTAGAATATTACCCTGTGTCAGTTCAGGCTCTTCAGTTAAAATAGCTATTGGCTTTTCTCTGGTATACAGTTTAAGTGCTATTCGTGCCTTCTCTCCATGAGACAATCCTCTCCTAGTATTTGCTATCTCCCTTGCTAATTCTAGCTCTGCCTCAGAGTAATTGCCATGTACGGTTGGCATGACTGGTGCAAGTGTGCCACTGATTATAGGCAAGAGAAGTGCTGAGTTTTCTCCTCCAGTTTTGCTGCCAT